CCCCCCCTTCTTGCTTTTCACTATTGGAACATGTTCTGATGCAAAAACTAGATTTCTGCAATGTAAAGTAAATATTATGACCTATAGATTCTAACGAACTTTGTTTTCTTTTGCAAGTTTTAAATCTAATTAGTAGTAATGCCATTATTTTGTGGTGAGTCAGTTAAGGGGAGAGCGACCCTTGATTTTGCAGATTTTGGGTCAGGCTATGCAAATTTTATGTAGGCTAAATTTTTTAAGATCAACCAATTTTTTTGTCTAAAAATAGCATGGTTACAATTGAGAAAGTCTTTATTCTCCTGGTAAATTGCCTTTGAAAACATGAGATTGGATTAATATAGTGCATTTTCGCAATTATTGTCGGTTTTCGCAAAATGTAAGCTTTGTGCCGTTTTTTCCCTACTCCTTCCTTAGTTTTCATCCTTTTGATGTGATACTTTCAGAAAACATAGAGTGCAAGACTGCCATCAATGTAACAGAGAGATATTTGGGAAAAAAATAATACTTATCCATTGGCAAGCGATTACGCAACCTAAATTTAGAAGAAAAAAAAATTGTACTTTGGGAAAATTGTCATTTTTTTTCTTTCTTTTGCACTTATTGAAAAAAACTGGCTGTTACTCTGATAGGGTCTGGTTCAGGTCTACTACTCTCACCACATGTGGTCAAATTTGGTGTGAAAAATCTGCTCATAGATTGTGTTCTAAGTGATTGTCTCCAAACTTTAAAAGACTTAGTATTTTCATTTTGTTCATAGTGAGTGTGGATTTTTAAAGGTGCCAATTTTCCAGAAAAATCAGGAAATCCGTATTTCCGGAATTATCCAAATATTGCCCTATATTGTCAACAAAGATAGTTTTGATACAAGATGTATTGGACTATATGATCTGTAAACATTTTTTCCCCCTGATCGTGTGTTTCGGCATCGTCCGAAAAGTTCAGGGTATTTTTTATCGTAGCCAGTTGGAACCTCTGGATCGTTCATGTTCTTTGACCAGGGATATTTCCCAAAGTTTTCAACTTTTGTGTCTTCCTTGATTAATCCCTTTACTCCAGTACCTTTTAAACCCTGCCTTCAATTTCCTGAACTTCAGTCTCATTATGAGCAGTGTGTGATTGGAAATCAGGAGTTTGACTTTGCTTAGAAATGGAACACCCCCCCCTCCCCCCCTTCCCCAAGCTTCTAACTGTGAACCCATTTGTTAATCTCCAGTTAACCACAAGTCTGTGTCTGTGGCACCCCACTCTTTCACTCTTTCACTCTTTCTCGTATTTACATGATGAAAATTGATCTGAAGTGATTGCTTTTTCTTTCCTCTTCCTTACTGTCGTCATTTTTCCTCTACTTCTTTTGTATGTTTGTCAGTCTCTTGTGAACTGCTATTTCCGAGATGCCTTTATAGTCGAAGCAGACTTTGTGCTGTTGAGGCAAGAGAGGGGAGCAGAGTAAGCCTGATTCCCCATTTGGACTTCTCTGTTGACATCCACCTCTTGGCGCTCATATGACCTTATGCAGTTGCGAGCGCCGTAAAATACTTTACAAAAACAAACAAAACCTGAAATGATTTTGTTTTTCTCCCCACACATTGTCTGCGACACAGATGCTGGCGTACATCGGCGACACAAGCCCCGAGTGTCTGCTGCGGCCCGGCATGCCCCTCAACATCGCTGCGCGGGTGCCCGAGGACCTGACGGAGCAGGCTGAGAGCGCGGTGAATCGCATGGTGGGCGAGCAGACGGAGGCTGAGGAGGAGCACCGCAGCACGCACAGGATGGACATCAGGTGACTTGACTTATAATTGACGCATTCTCCATGGGACGAGTAGATTATTTAACAGACTTTCCCAGTGCTCAACTTTTTTTTGCCCTTCAAAGAGCCGTGATGGGATTTGCATAAAATCCTATATTTTTTTCTTCAATTTTACTATAGGTTATAAAGAACTTATTGTAAATGGTGGTGAAATGTTCGTGTTCTAGGAAATTAAGGTGCAGTGTAATAGCTTGACTGAGGGAAACAAGTTTGGATATGAAATACATGTTGAAATGCTTTTGATTTTATAACAGCATGCTATTTTTTCTTGGTCTTTTCTTTAAAAAAAAAAAAAAATTTGTTAGTTACTTCATTGATTTTGCTGGTGATTCTGTCCTTGAATGAGTGAATGGTTCATTGGGACTCTGAGAAGGGAGGGAGCTGAAGATCAGGCGGGGTTGATCCTGAGAGTGGAAATTTAAGATGTGAACATGGTGCTGTGTGCATAGCTGCCAACCAGTACTTGAATAAGTCGGTATTTAATTCGTTTTCGAGGGTCTAAGTTTGAAAGTTTTCGTATGAGAAAAAATGTGTTTTCTGTTTTCTTGTAATGATTCTCACAGACTTGTCAATGCTAAAGAACTTTCCAGACCAGATTTGCCTATAATAATGAAAACGAAGCACACAGGTTTATGGAAGTCGAAGTTGTATCCCTCATTATTGGTGGCTGTTGAGCATAAATTTATTGAGTGCAGAAAAATGTGGGTGGGTGGGGGGGGGGGGGGAGGGGTCACTTGACCAGTGCCCATCATCTTGACTGCCTGTGTGGGGAGAGATTGAATTTTGGTTCTGAAAAGTTGGCAGCTGTGTGGGTGTGTGTGTGCTTGTGAGTGTGCGTATGTGTGAGAGAGAGAGAGAGAGATGTGAGCGTGGTGCTGTGTCTCCGTCCCCCCACTTGGCTGCATGGTCTGGCACTGATGCTGTACTGCCCTGCAGCGGTCTTGAACGTGTCTGTTTTCCCCGTGGGTCACAGCTCAAAAAAACCCTATTGTTTTTGTTTGCCTCTCTTGCTTTTGTGGGTGGTTGGCGAGTGCTCCTGTGTGGCGTGCTCCTTCTTTCTTTCCAGACGTCTGTCATCCTTAGCTCTCCTCCTTTTCTTTGTATGTTACGCTCCAGTAACACCTTGATCTTCAATATGTATATGACTTAATTGTGTTGCAAGTGCTGTAAAACTTTTACTAAACCTAAAAACTTTGTTGGCTCTGTGTGATAAATGTGAATGTTGGTTCTTTGTGATAAATGTGACTGTTGGTTCTGTGTGATAAATGTGACTTGGTTCTTTGTGATAAATGTGACTGTTGGTTCTGTGTGATAAATGTGACTTGGTTCTTTGTGATAAATGCGACTGTTGGTTCTGTGTGATAAATGTGACTGTTGGTTCTTTGTGATAAATGTGACTGTTGGTTCTGTGTGATAAATGT